GACATTGTCGGCCATTATGTCAGAGACTGAAAGCCAGCCTAAGTTTGTGCAATTGATTTCCAGGTGCTGGAGGAGCAGCCGACCACACGACAGGCTGTCAGTGCCACTCAGAGAATGATGCCAGCTGAGGCGTCTCAGAGGGCCAGTCGCCAGTAAAATACTGCTGCTGCTGCATGCACATGAGAATGAGCTGGATCTGCATTAAGATCCACACACAATCTACTAGAGGTGTAATGATACACTCTACTCACCATAACAATACATATCTCAATATTATGTCCACAATACGATATGCACCACAATATTTTACGACACTATTTTTAACAAACTACTGAAACTGTTTATATAACGAAACATAATAAAAAAATGGAATTTAAAAAGTTTTGAAACCCCAAAGTTCCTAGGCTAGGGTGTGGTTGTATTTGTGTGAGAGCATTTGATACCATCCATTCACAAGGGGGCAGTGTTAATGTTTGCCTTAAGTCTTTTTTACTCTAAGTGATGAAGAGAGCTAAATCTTTCTTGTTTAAAAAGTGAGTAAAGGATAATTGTGTCTTAGTAAATATTACATAATACAATAAGAAAAAGTAAAGAAGTTTCAGAAGTGACTAGAATCACAATTACTTCAAGAAGATAATACGCTTCACATGACAATTTTTCACTGCTATATATTGTACCGTGATATATTGTTACACCCCTAGAATTTACTTTATCTCTCAGACATCTGGAACTGGAACAACTTTACAATAGCATCAGGGAGATATATTTAGAATTTTTAATAGAATACAATAAAGTATTTAGTGATGTAGTAAGCTACTACACAGTGGCTTAGAAATTAGTTCAGTTAGATGGAAGGAGGGAAAAATGACCTTTTAGTGTTAACTATAAATTTTGTTCTGTGAATATGAATATCTAAATTTAGCTGGTTTCACCACAAAACAAAATAATTTGTGTTTAAACGTAGATAACTGAGAGCAAAGAGAACATTTCCCTCATTTCTCTAAATCTCCAATCACTCACTCAATATTACACCACACCTGTAGTTAATCTCCTTGTTTTTTATTCACTCCATCAATGCTCTCCTCTGCTCTTCCCCTTTATATGCTCTTTCTTTCTTTCTGTCTCAATTTTTCATTCTTTCTTTCTCAATTTTATCGCTATGGTTCAAGCCCCCTGACTCTCCATGATCACTTCTTGCCTTCTTGGATTCTCCCGTGCTCTCCTATGTGTCTCTTCTGAATTTCTTCCATATTCTACTGATTATCTAGTTCCTGGCTTCTCTTCATGTAATGAACTAAAAGAAAAACTTCAACAACACTGGGTTCTGTTACTTTTAAGGGACATCTTACTTCTGTACAGCTGCTTCTTTACATGCAAATAAACCTTGTATGGTGAATATATGTCCTCTCTCCCTCCCTATAGTCAACTGACCTTACTTTGATCCCCCCAAAAATGTTTACATAGAATTTTAATTTTCAGATGTATTTCAGACATTAATTACATTTTAGACAAGCGATTGCCTAGAAGGAAATTTCTTTCAGGGATCTTTCAGGAACAGAGCGTTCAACTCAAATAAAATTAGCAAAAAGCCCCAGAAGATCAATGAGAGCAAGAAATGAAGCCAATAGCACTGGATTTGTCTCTTTCTACTTGCCGTCCTTTCCTCCTCAGTTTCAGAGAACTTTAGTCAAGCCTCTAGGGATCCTCTGGGACCCTCAGCTGTCATTGAGAAGCCAGCAGCATGTGCTGTCTGAGCTTGCCTGCAATACAGAAACACACATCTCTTCATCCACACATCCAGACTCTCTGCTTTTAATCTGTGTTTGACAGCCTGGCATCTTGTCTTCTTCCTTTCTGCTCAGCTGCAAAGCCAGTCAGAATTAATCTAAAAACTGCTGCTTTAGGATGTGATTTTAGCAGGAAAACTAGAAGATGCCTCAGATATTTGACATTGTGCTTCAAGGATGAGGTTCAATGTCCGAGATGTTTGAAGAGACTTTTTGTTTTTACATTTTATTAATGTAAAAATGTGTCAAACAAGATTTTCTGGAAATTTTCAACAGAAAATCTGGAAATTCAAATTATTTTGAGGGGTAAAAATAGACTTTTTTATGTAGGTTTGTTTACAAGGTGATTAACATCAAATTATTTATTTATTTATTTAACTTATTAGGAACGGCAGCCCATAAAACCATCCATTCATTTATAAACTACATTTTTTGAAGTTTTTGTTGAAACGAAATAGGTCAGAAATTGGTTGGAAACATGAATCCTCTATGAAGCATACTGGTCTATGATGGGGGAAAAAAGTAATTTTGCCTTTTTCATATTTTGTATTATTTTATTAAGGAATCATTTTATTCTCTTGAGTTAGACATCATGTTTCCATTCATAGATGCAAACTGGTGCTCAATATCAAAAGACTAAAGTTAAATAAAAAAAATTACAATTGCTGCGTTAGAAGACTTTTTTATAAAAACTTACTTGAAAATGTAAATAACACACAATATGTGGATTTATGTCATTTAATCCCAAACTACTTTGATGACAAATTAATTAAAGACATTTTAGAATAACCAAAGCAACATTTCAGATGTTGTGCAATGAAATCGGTCCATTGGTTAGTCCTTTAAAGCCGCCAAAACGCATCCTAGAATGCCATTGCATTGGGATTTATTCGGTACATGAGTTTCCATTGAAAGATATGCACGTTTATCTTAATTAATGCACATATTGGCATTTCAGTCTCTCTTTTAATAAAATAGGTGGATGGAAACGCAGCAACTGCCTGTCATCAATCACTCTCTGATTAACACAACTCACAATGAAGAACCCTCATGTAGTCTGCTTCCTGCCATTCAGTCATTGTCATATCTACGGTTCACAACCTGTTGACTCTCCAGTTTTCCTTGTGACAGGAATACTCATCTCTCATATCCATCAGTAAGGAAACCTTTGCTTTTCATCCACTAGTGCAACTCTTACCTGCACTCTTGACTCTTCCAGCTCTCTTCATGTCTTCTCACCTCGCTCCTGCTCTGGTCTCCACTCATGACAACTTTGGGAGATCGCTATCCCAGTAACATCGGTTTCATCATGGATTTCCCGGTTTGACTGTTGAGAGTTACATGTACATACATCTGTTTTCTAAAGGAACAATTTCTTCAAATCTCCAATTCTCTGTGTCGAGGCCAATATTTCTGTTTTCTAATGATTACTTGATAGTTTTAAAAATGTACAAGTGGCTCTTTCAGTTTATACATATCTAATCAGCAGCAGTAAGATTTGTATTTGTAATTGTTTGTGCAACACTCACGCTTTTTCAAGCACCCAGTGCAACCCTGTCTCTCATTCAGACTATTTAGTTTAATTTCGGGCAAACAAACCCTATGCTGTACTTTCCTTAAAGTCTTTTAAATGTTGTGTCCCCGAGTAATACCATACAACATAATTACACTTTATAACAAAGCAGTTAGAGATATATTGCTGTTAATCTCTGCCTCCTCTGCCATATTTACCACCAAAATGACTAGTTTTCATGTTTATTCTAAACACAATCTTATGAAAGGAGTAAAACGAAATGTCCTCTTCCAGAGAGCGCTATCATACGACCTCATAAGCCATGGTGGAACACATCATTCTGACACCTCATAACCTGACTCTGCTTTTTAGCTTTTGGATTTTGATGGTCACCTTCAACACTCTGTCAATTACTGTGAGAAGATGGTTGAGAGAGTGTCAGAAAAATAACAGTTCTGGCTTTTGGAATGGCATGAGGGTGAGTAAATAACGAATGATTTTTCATTTTTGGGTGAACTATTTTGAGCAATCCTCCGCATCCATCTACCCTGCCTTCACTTCTTTTTTTATATTTTCTCCTTTCAATCTGTTTCTCCTTCCAGCTCAAATCTCTCCAGAAGATCGCAGTTAACTTGCAGATTACACACACAGGCCAATTATTTAATTCTATAAACTTGACTCCATCTCTTTCAATTTCAGTGATGGCAAATTTACTCCACAAGACATTTTTGCCTCCTTCATCAGCACTTCCGTTCGATAAAAATGCAAGCAAGCCATCAAAGGCCCTGACAAGGTCAGCTTTTGGGAAGACATTGAAGAAACCATCCCATTATACGGTTAAATGGTGCAGAAGATTCAAGCTGAACCAAATTCTCCCCATCAGTGTGACATTCTATTAATGAAGTTGCAGAGGGTAAGCCCTTGCTCACAACACAGATCCACATGAGCTAATGCAATGCAGAAGGTCGTTCACATCAATACCAGGCTGCCATTCAGCCACACGCATACTTGAAATTTGAATATGAAAACAAATCAGCATTCGGGGCTTTGTGTTTGCCAAAAGAGCATTCAGGTTTATGAGAGAGCTCGCTACATTCAGATCTGAATGGCCTTTCATGTTTTTCAAATAGGGGTCAATGAATGTTGAAAGCAAATCTGGAGTCACATTTGAAATTATATTTGGACTTCTATTATTCAAAGGCTCATGTAAACTGAGCAGGTGTTTGCCTTTTTAATTAGTGCCGATGCAGTTGTTGAATACATGGGTAATGTCTTTCTTGCAAATATCTTTTTGTAGACTTAGAAGTCCGAGGCATTTTTGATCATTTTTTATTACTTTACAATTTGCCCTAATAAATAATCTTTAAAACAGTTTTTGTGGCAATGCTTGATATCATTTTTGTAAAACAACCACAAATTAAAAAAATTTAAGAATTGTAAAAAAAAAAAAAAACAGCAGCAGTGTTCACAGCAGCCAGAGTAATGACGGCCGAAGCGAGAACTATCTTGCTGAACTAACTTGTGTTTTTTCTCACGCAGTGTTAAATAATCGTTTTTAAAACAAATTGATTGGTTTGGTAGAGTCATAACAGCATTTTAGGAGTGTTTGATATTTACATTTACATTTAATGCATGTGGCAGATGCTTTTATCCAAAGCGACTTACATTAGAATGAATGAACACATTTTTTTGTCAGTTCTTGCTTTCCCTGGGATTTGAACCCACAACCTTTGCTTCATTTGCACAGTGCTGTACCAACTGAGCCACAGGAAAACTTGAGTTTCCGTGTGTTTTTGTGGACACATTTTTTGTATAGGATGCGAGAACAATTGTTTAAAAAAAAAAAACATTTATAGGGTACGCCTTATAATGTTGGTGGAGAAAAAAGAGGATTTGTAGTATGCTAATTAGTTCCTGTTTTCTGTGGGAAGTCGCTATGAAAATGTGCAATGAGCAGAACACAGCAGCTCTTTTACATCATAATCATGTCATTAAAAGAGCCAGCTTTCATTGGTTGTTCTCCCTGCAAAAATGGATCCAGTACGGCAGTGCGAAACTGTTTCATGTTCGGTCAGATGTATGATGCCCCATTGGCACTCATGGTTTTCGATTGTACAAAACTTCAGACCGCAAATTCGAATCAGTGTCTAGAGGCCTTCAGTCAGTAGCAGACTGTTGCAAGCAAAGCAAAAACTGTGGGTTTTAATCCCAATGAAAGCAAAAACTGATAAATATGTTAATTCTTAAAATGTCAGTTGATTTGGATAAAATCGTTGCAATCATTCGCATACATGTAAAACTAATATTAGACTTTTGAAAGATATAATAGCACATCATTCCTCTGTAAACTGCCTAGTTTGATGCACAATTGACCTAATTGTACAAAGTTTTCCTTTTAAAATGGTACTGATAACAGAGATCTAGGGACTTACTGGTTGATTTTATTTTAATCTGTTTCCAAAACAAAAATTAGATAGCTATTGAAAATATGACTTAGTTGTGTTCGCAATATTCAGAAAACACACCAGCCAGGTGCTCTTACTAGCACTACGTTGGACAATAGGACAGTAAAGTAGATAATTAGCATGATTGAGAAGCCTAGCACTAAAAAAAAGCTTACTAGAACTGAAAATCAAGTAAACATTACAAGATACAACACATGTTCTGATGCTAAGCCACCAAGAAAAAGCCCAGGATAATGAACTGGCAGTGACCCAACATCAGAGGCACAAAGACAAGGAATACAAGACACTGCTGTTAGAGACTGTTATGGTTCTGCCAACCACATGCAAATCATGACAGGAGCTCCAACAATACTTCCCACTCAACAAAAGCAATAGATACCCTTCAACTCTGAATTACAGATTCTAATGAGACTATGAGATACCATGCTAAATGTACCTGGTGATTAGCTCTTAGTATCACAAATTCCATACAAAGAGAAAACTACAATGAGAGTGTTCATAGCTAAATAAAAAAAATGACAACTTTAGGTTTGGCAGAATTCACTGACTAATGACGACTGTGCAACAGATGTTTCACCACAGCAGGAAATATGTGTAAATTGGCTAAAATAGATGTTTATCAGCTATACCAGGGGTGCTCATTACGTCGATCGCGATCGTGCTACCGGTTGATCGCGGCGTGAAATTGAAACAATATCAGCTGATCTTCCATCCCGTCACAGTTCAGTAAAGTTAGCTGCAGATTCACGGATTCGTTTTCTCTGCTCAATAGCTCGAGACCAGAATGTTCTTAGTAAACAAATAATAGCTATTTTTAATCTGTGTTATGTAACAGACAAACTACTAAACGTTTTTTATCAAAACAAGTTTCCCTCAGCATTCGCAGAAACAAATTACCGTCTATGAGCAACCCGCTGACATGGAATCGATTAGGGACCGTCTGCAAATGACCAGATCCAAAATATGTTTTACCCAGAATATGCTTCATAACTTCATTCTAAATTGCTCTATTACAACCAAAATCAAGCAGCACACCACTCCTCACCTGCGTATTGTACTGCACGACTCAGTTTCAATATTAAAAATATAAATATTTATTAGAGCATCATTTTTATTCTTGATTATTTGGATCAAAGATCAATTGCTCCCATAAAAATCACTCTATTACCACCAAATTCAGGTCACACACAACTGTTCTAATGATTAAATTCAGTGAAAGTCATCAAATTAAACTCACGTTATTACAAAAAATTAAAATAATTAATTATTATGTGTGTTTTGTCAATTCTCAATAAAGTTGAAAATAATTGTTAGTTGATTGATGTTTTACATTTTTGTAGCGGGTAGATAACTTTGACTTGGTCATTTTAAAAATAGCTCGCAAGCTGAAAAAGTGTGAGCACCCCTGAGCTATACCATCTGTGAGATATCATCATGCATATAGATTTAGAAGTTTTAAAGAAGTTTCCTAACAGTAATTTAAGATTATTTATAAATAAGATTTAACATGCTAACAGCTAAAATTGCTGGTCCTTGAGGTTTAAACCTGACCTTAACGGATCATAGTCGCGGATCATTGACTATTCATGTTCTCTCTGTGTTTGCATAGGCTTTCTTCTTCAAACCCAAAAATGAACAAAATCAGTTCAGATGAATACCCCTTTGCCCCAAAGTGCGCTGGGGATATGAACAAGCATAACCCCAGAAAAAAAGTGAGTAAAGACAGTGTTTTACAAAAAATAAATAATTAAACGAAAACTCAACGTTAAATGCACATTTTACAATATTTACAATTAAAGCATGTTTAAGGTGTATTATTTTGTACTATTTCCTCTGATTACAGCCTGTTGACAGTCTAGCTAACTAACAGCTTCTCTAATAAAAAAAATAATAAAATTAGATCTTCATCCCCCGCCAAATCCCATTTTAAAGTATTTCCAGGAAATCTATTGTTGGCTGTCAACTGAAAACTGGTCATTTAGAAAGTCAGGAAGAGTCCATTTATTTTTCATTTAAGTGTGTAATCATCAGAATAAGGTTAAATTTAGATTCCCATATTAACTGTAATAAAATCATTGTATTTTTTTTTATTTCCTCTTATCACATCCATCATTTGCTCTTCCTCAAATTGATTACATCTGCCAAAGAGTATAGAAATAATTGAGGTTTGGGATTGAAAAAATTATTAATTCATAATTAGAAATAGCATTTTTTTTTGTTGTTGAGTGTAACATTTATGGTTTAAATGTAACTCAAACTATGAGAATACATATTTGGGGGTAGGAAGTGGTTACATTTACAAATGAGATGTCTCTATTGAGACTTTATTTTAATTAATCACGCTGCCCTAAAACCAAGAGCCCATTTCTTCTCATTATTACAATCCTTTCATCACTGTCCCATTCCAATACTTTTTCCCTACAACTCATTGAAAACCCACCTAATTAAACCGGAGCCGACAGGTGAAGCTGCCATGTCAGCGGTAGCACTCGAGACTCAAACTGACAACTGCCTGCCTTGTTTTGTCTCTTCCATCTCCACACAGTGACCCAGCAGTGCTTATTTGTGATTGACAGGGATGAGAATAGCTGCTTTTTACTCGCTGATTTATGCCACCAAGACCTCTGAGGGCCCGTGAAAGGGTGCAAACAGAAGAGCTGAATCTCCCAGCGGTGAGATGAAGGCAGGGTGAAGCAGCTCAAAGGAAGACTAGACCCGCTCGTTGCTGAAAGCCACAGATTAAAGGCAAATCTACAGCGAGAGAGAGATAGAGAGAAAGAGAGAGAGAGTGTATATGTCAATTAATTCTCAAAAGCAGACCCTGTGTGTCACAAGGTTATGAATCATGATTCCTCCCTTCGTTAAAAGCAGCAATCCACCAAACTCTGCGGCTGATTTGGATGGCTCAGACTGAAACGTTGAAGAGTCATGGATTTCCAGCTCTGGGGTGCTCCTGACTTGATCAATATTGAAGCTCTAATGAGTGCCGTTTACTGCTAAGCAAACAGTCATTTGGTTTTAAGCTGGATAATTGGTCTCAAACCTCTCTGCTCGATGCCAGTATAATTTAGAGTTGGAAATGTCTTTCTGGCATCCAGTATAATTGGGCCAGAAGTTTTAGACACGTTGCCTATGGGCATTACTGTAAAAATGTGTTGCCATCAAGGACAGAAAGCCCCTAGAGGACTGAGTTGGGCTGGTTGTAAGAAGGGACGCCGTAACCAGGATTTAACCTCAGAATCCTTTGGGTCTAGAGTCATATATATATGTAGGATGGTTTGGAAACATTTCACACAGTCCTGAGCTGGAGTGGATAGGACATAAAAGAGGAAGTTGACTGCATCACTTAGACAAACGTAATTACTGTTACAACCAACACAGCATGGAAACAATGTTTGTAGAGCAAGGACTCAAAACAATGCATAAAAACAGCCTTTTTACCAATTTTAACAACAATGCGTATGCACTGTTGTCGTCGAGGTCTGTCAGCGACCAGAGATATGTTAAACTCATTCTTCACTTCCCTCTGTCTTGTCAAAAACCATCTCATCTGAAGGTCACGGGAATTTCTCACCTTTTCAGATTATTCGGTAACACTTCAGAAAGCTCTTCCTTGATGCATAACTAAGAGAATGTTACAGATTTTTTATGGGTGGTTACTTAGGAGTTGTGAGTAAATTCAGTAGCTAGTGATGGTTGCTTAGTACTCACTATGAATAATTAGTAACAACTGAATAATTAACAGTAACTTTTTCAGGTAGTAAGAAACAATAGTTAAGCTAGAATTACTAGATAGTTTCTGGTTAGTTCTGTAGTAACTACCTCATAGTCATGCGTTAACTCATGAAGAAAATTCTAAAGTGTTGTCCATTATTCCCCTTCTTTGTTCACCATCCAGGGATGTGTACCAGGTTAAAATACCTGACTGAGTCTTGGAACGGATCAGGGATTAAAACGTGATAACATGCCTTGAGCAGAAAACAAATCACGATTCTCTGTTAAAAGGACTTAAGTCCATGTGAAACAAATCAAAAACCTTTTTAAATAATAAAAAAACAGACACAATGTGAGTGAGGATGTAAAGTGTCCTAAAATCTGAGTTTCTCACAGAACTATTTCTTGTTTTTTGAAAATGAAGCCAAGTGATGCATCTGTCAAGATACATATATGCAAAACAGAGAGACTCGCGATTGACGGCAGGCAATAGCTGGCAACATGAGCCAAAATAGCAGCAGAGCTTTATCTTTCTTTGTCCAGCTTTGTTATGCAATTACAAAGCCCACATGAACAAACAGCAGAGTGTGAAGCTC